CATGGAATATCTTTCCATTTGTTTAGGCTTTCTTTAATGTCCTGTAACAATTATTTACATAGAATAGCTTAATCATGATAAGCTATGTGTGTGTAACCATTAAATCTCCAAATTAATTTCAATAGATGTGAATATTAATATCGGTTTATGAATGCATTGATTTTCTTACTGACAAGAGTAATTTTAACTTAAGCTGAGAAAACAGTGTGAAGATGATATTATGAAGGGAGATTAATGTCTTTTCTAGCAAGTACAGGTGTTGAGAGTGTTTAGTTTATTTTAATGGTGTTGATTACATAATATTAGATATGTCACAGGTCACCTGGAGAATATAAAAGCATCATTAATTTAATGCTGGCCTGGGACCTAATTAGAAAATACATATTTGTATTTTACTAATCCCCTGTACTCAATATTTAAAACTTCCCTCTTGTTGTCAATTCTCTGTCACATCTCCTTCTCAGTCCTAAGCTAAACTTCCTTGTCCATGTCAACTACTCTCTCCCAACTTCCAATTTCAGAGAGCTCCATCCAATTAGTTCCTTAGCCTTGGCACCTGCATTACCCCATTCTCTCCTTTATTCCATATGAGCTATTAATATCTCAGCTCTCTGTCTTCTTGATTGTAATCCCTCTTCGATCTGTATATTCCTATTTATTCTTGCCCTTCTCCCTAGATCTAGCTGCCTGTTGCCTCTGGAATGCAACAGTGTTGGCCCTAGTGTGTTTTGTGATTCCATTTCTTTCCATATAATCCATCCTATGTTTTGCTGGCTAAACTTGCATGTCCATTTCAACTACTCTCTCCCAACTTCCAATTTATGAGAACTCCATCCAATTACTTCTTTAGCCTTGGCACCTGCCCCTATTCTCCCCTTTATTCCATATGAGCTATTAATACCTGAACTTTCTGTATTCTTAATTGTAATGTCTCTTCAATCTGTATATTCCTGTTTATTCCTTCACTTATCCCTAGATCTAGTTGCGTGCTACCTCTGGACTGCAACAGTGCTGGCCCTATTGTGTCTTTGTGATTCTATTTCTTTCCATATAATCCATCCTAGGTTTTGCTGCCATATTAGCTTTTGCATAATTTCATAATGAGTCTGCAGGCAATATTGAGCTTATATAAATTTTTGACAGAAGAACAGAATTGCAAACTATTGCATTCTTTTTTGTTTGTTTATATGAAATGAACTGTGAAAATGATGGTTAAGAATAGAGATATGACTTGCAGCCAACATGGCAGAATAGATGGTCCCCAGCATCACTCTCTCCCACAAATCAACCAAATGATAACTATTAAAATGCAACAACAGTCAAGCTGGGGCTGCTAGACCTCAGGGGAAGAGGAAGAGAGACCTATGAAGAATATGAAGGAAGAAGACATTAAGAGAGAAAAAAAGGACCACTCCCAGCATTTCAAGCCCAGGTCACTTCAAGACTGGCCCTGGTGAGCACATGGAGCAAGAGCTAGCAAAAGCCACAGCTGTGCCCTTCATATGAAGTTGCTTGGAGTCTTCAGGGGAGAAGAGGGCCTTGGTTGGCCCCAGGACAGCAAGACCACTAACAGGGTTCCCATGGAACCACATAGAAGTGAGGGTCCACAGACAACTGAAAAAGGAGCCACTAAGAGGCTGGTGAGTCATTGAAAGGGACAGGTGCATGGCCCATCCCATGGGAAGTGTTTGGTGTAGGCAGTGGGGGAGATGGGCCCCACTGGGGTAACATTGAGGCACAGCATGGATGGCTGATATGCCCTGTAATCAGCACAGGCCCACTCAGTGTAGAATGGTCAGGAATATAGAACTTCAGGGGGTGCAGTTTGCTGAAAAGACTCAGGCCCATACCAGAGTTTTCACACAATCCAGGTGTACTGGTCCTCACAAGACCCAGAAGTACTTGTAAGGAAAACAATTAAAACCTGAGCTGCACAAAAAGCCTTCCCCAGAGAATCAGTAGTAATGCAGCAATTTAGCTCAACCACAGGGTTCAAGTGCTGGTTCCCTTAGGAAGTTCCCCCATTTTAGTAGTAACCAAAGGACAACTTAGCTCCAGTGCACAGTTTAAGTGATAGGAACAGCGAATAATCCATAACAGAACTGAAAGAAAAAAAAATACCCAAAGGTCAAAGACAAAGTTTGATATTTCATAAGTCTAACACCACCAAAGAACACCTATGCAACCTAGAAGGACTGGGAGCCCCCTGGACTCCCAAGCTGGGGAGGGGGATGGATGTGGTCTTCAGCCATCCCCACTCAGACAACTGCACCTAGCCCAGGGATGACCACTGAGCCACTTCAGGAAGCACCCTAGGCTCCCAAGCTGGGGTGGTGGGGGCCCAAGGACTTCAGCCATGTCCCCCCAACAATTGCACCCAACCTAGCAATGACCAAGATGCAACTAGAAGCCCCTTTGTCTCCCCTGCTGGAATGAAGGGGGTTCCATGGGACTCAACCACTCCCCTCTCTCCTCCTTCTCCCACCCTATTTCCCTCTCCCTTCCTCTCTACCCCTCCCCCAACTGCTCTGCAACATCTTATAATTTAAAAAAATATATTAATAAATAAATGAATTTTCTTAAAAAAAGAATAGAGAAATAAGTCTGGATTAACCTATGCAAAATATATTTTGACCTGAAATAACCAACTAATTGCTTTCATTCAAGTTTTTTGTCCAGTCTAATCTAATTATATCAACAAATATGGCTTCACTGGCTATTGTATGAAGATTATCAGATTTACGTCAATGTAAACTTTGAGTCTGCAATAAATGGTTTTGTCTTTGGAGCTCAGGATCACCTTTCATATTCATAATATCTGATAGAATTGTTTGTACAAGACTGAGGATCATTAAGTGCTGTATAATTTTTAGGTGATTTCTAGAAACCTAAAATTCTAATTTCTTTTTTTTCTTTTTAATTGGAGCATAATTCATTATATGCATTTTCAGGGTACAACATTGACTACCATCACTAGTGTACAACATATTTAAACCAAACCATATTATTAGCATATTCCTTCTTACAAATCATATTCTTTATTCTTTATACCCCTTATCCAATCTCTCCCCATCCAGTTCTCCCTTCACCTCCCCCATCCACTAATAACAATTGAATTTTCTCTCCTTCTGAAAGATAAACATATTATTGTGGTATTTTCCTCCTTCCTTCTTTCCTTCCTTCCTTCCTTCCTTTTTTTCTTTGTTTATTTGTTTGTTTCTCTTTCTTTCTTTCTTTCTTTCTTTCTTTCTTTCTTTCTTTCTTTCAACACCCACTTATGAATTAGGACATATGGTATTTCTCTTCTGCATCTGGCTTATTTCACTTAAGATAATTTTCTCCAAACTCATACATGTTGCTACAGATATAGAATTTCATTCTTTTTCTATGGCTGAGTAGTATTTCATTGTTTATATATACTACAATTTCCTTATCTAGTCATCTGTCAATGGACATTTATATTGGTTCTGTATTGTAAACAGAGCTGTAGTGAACATGGAAGTGCACGTGTCCCTTCAACATGATGATTTCCATACCTTTGGGTAAATACCTAGAAGTGGGATTGCCGGATCATATGGCAGTTCTATCTGCAGTTGTTTGAGGAACCTCCATACTGCTTTCCATAATGGCTTTACTATTTTACAATCTGATCAGAAGAGTAGAAGAGTCCCCTTTTCTCAATATCCTCTCTGGCATTTCTTATTCTTGGTTTTATTAATAATGCCCAGTATAACTGGGGTGAGATGATATCTCAGTGTGGTTTTGATTTGTATTTCCCTGAGGGTTAGTGATGTTGAGCATTTTATCAACCACTTGTTGGCCATTTGCAAGTCTTCCTTTGAAAAATGTGTGTGGCTGGCTGCCTGCAGGGTGGTCCAGGCTGTTACTGTGGCAGTGGGCTCTCCTTGTGAGGGCTGTAGCTATGGCGGTGCTGGTGGTAGACCACCTCTTCTGGCTCCTGCTCTGGGTGGCTGGAGGGAGTGTACAGTGGCTTCTGGCTGGGTGGTGGGCCATGCAAGTCGCTCCTTTTTCTGGCTCCTGCTTGGGGCAGTTGGAAGGGGCTGGTGCATTCTTCCAGCTGGTTGCTGGGTTGTGTGTGTTACTCCCTCAGCTGGCTCCTGCTCCAGGTGGTGGGATAGGACAGGTGGTGGCTTCTGGCTGGATGCCAGGTCAAGAAAGGCAAACTTTTCATTCAGGCTTGTAACATCTTTCATGATGTGGTCCTAATTTACTTACTTATATCAATTAATATTGTGTTTGTTTACAAATAGGATAAATTCTACTTAACAATGACTTAAACAAATAGTGAGTTTATTTAACAGAGATACAAAGAGTCCCATGGTCAGCTAGTCCAGAGATAATACAGTAGCTTTGAAGCATCAAAGAGTCAAGTGCCTCCAATTTTTCTTCACCATATTTGGTATATAGGCCTTCAATTACATGGTTAAATCTTCATGTCCCAGGGTGATGTCTACCCTACCTACTCCTTTACATCTGTGTTTTGAGTGAGATGGGGGAAATAGAAAAAGGGTCACCAGTAGGCTACTGCTTACATCCTTTTTGGGAAAGAAATATGCTGCCTGGCTCATCTAGCTGTAAAGATTCTCATGAATGGAAATTTTAGGCAAGCAAGGAATAAGGGGATAGTGAATAAGTTTGAATGAACTGATCTACACTCTCTGCCACATAATACAGTATTTTGTTCCAATACTGTATTGTCTAGATTCTGTGTTTGGCTAATTATTTTTTTTAATTCATGAAGGATAATAATTTATCAACTTGACATACATTTATTGAAAAACTGGTAAATGTGGGTATCTTTTTTTTTGTTAAATTTTAATTTTGTCAATATACAATGTATATGATTATTATGGCCCATCACCGACACCTCTCTCCCTCCTCCCTCTCTCCCCTTCCCCCCAAGAATGTTATTCTGAATACACTGCAGTTAAATATACTGACAAATAATTTGTCAGATAATTGCATCTAAATGTTCCTAGGAAAAGCACAAACAGCATTTGGAGTTTACCTTTGAAAACGTGGTAATTACTGCACTTGATTTGTTTGGAGCTGGCACAGAGACCACAAGCACCACCCTGAGATATGGACTCCTGCTCCTGCTGAAGCACCCAGAGGTCACAGGTATGAACACACTGATGAGCAGAGTGAAATTCAGCAAAGATGTTGGGAAGATCTTGCTAGTGTTTTCCATATTCTTTCTCTTAGAGAAGCTTCATTATTAAACTTCTGTGCTACCAGCTGCAATCTGTCCAAACTTACGGATGTTATTAAGAGGGGCATCTTTGCAGAATATGGGAGGGTGACTAAGAGCAGTCAAGACAGCATGGCAGTAGGAGAAGGAATAAAGCTCTGGTGTCATGTCTGGATCTCATGGGAGGTGGTTTGTGGCAGGCAGAGCCAGCATCAATTGGCCCGGGATTGCGTATTGTTTTTATTACGAAAAGACCACTTTGAACAGTAGGTATGTTCTTGCGAATTCCTTTCCTCATTCTGAAAATTCAGGGCTCTAATGCTGGGAAAATGTAATCTCTTCTCCTTGAGGTACAAGTGAAAGTCCTAGAAATTTAGTGATGCTGTCTGAGATCATTTCTAGCCTGCGAAGTATTCTAAAAAGTTAGATTCATAAGAAAGATGTTTACATTTAGGCAGAAGATGTATCTAAAGGAATTTTTTTATTCCAGAAGTTTGTATCTATAAAACTAGTGTATGAAAAAATAAGAATTTTTTTTTGGGGGGGAGGATCAATAATTTTATCATTTCTGAATAGCTTTACTTTAGAAATTTACCTTTAAATAGTTCTAGTTAGGCAGCAGATAAGAAACATACTTTTTTTCTCCTGATAGGATTCCACCAAAATAATAATAACCTAATTACATATGAAATTTAGTCTTGTTAAAGTAGGAGGAGAGGAGTGCTGGAAACATCCAACAACTCTTCAGCAAGTTTCTAAAACACAGAAATCAGACTGAAGTGTAAAAATAACTGAGCAGAGGAGATGAAGTTGTAACATTAGTGTCAGAGAAGGTCAAAAATGATGCAGAAAAAGGAGACTTTTCCTGTCCCAGTTCCATCCACGACTCTTTTATCAGGTAAATGATTATCCCCCAAGGAAAAGGA